TGTACCCCCGCGGTGCCTCCTCTGGCCCTGCCAGTCCCTCTCAGCAGCAAGGGTCCCATGCTGGTCCTGCTTGTGCCCTGCTCGTGCCCCCCATGTCCTGTGTGTGCCCTGCCCATACCCCCCAGCTCTACCCCGACAGCCACCATGAAAACAACGTTTCCCTCTGGGGTGGGTTGTTTGTTTGTTTTTTTTTTTGAGCAAAGCCCAAAAGCTGCCCCAGCCCCTGCAGTGCCAGCTCCCCCCATCCTTGCCCCAGCAGATGCTGTGTGACGTGGACCAGGTGACGGCGGTGCGGTTCATTCTGCGGCAGCCCTCCCCGGTCTGGCTCCACTTCACCATCGAGGAGCTGCAGATTTTTCCCCCTGGACAGAAGGTGAGCGGGTGCCGGAGCTGCCCTCCCTGCCAGGCACGGGCAGGAGGTCCAGGGAAAGCCACCATCTCCAGCCCTGTGCCTGACACTGCTCCCTAGCAAATCCTAACAAATTAGAGTTGGAACCTGCCACTCAAAACACAAAATTCCCTTTAATGATGGTACAGTGACACTTAGATCCATAGCCATGTAAATAGGGGTGGGCTCCAAACTGCAGCAGCATGGACTCTTGGGTATCATGGGCTCAAACCGCATCGATGCAGCATGCTCCGTGGTGTGAGGGATGGAGGTGGCACTGGGGACACCCTTGGATCTGTTTCAGAGCCCCCCGAAGGATTTCCCCTCCTGGCTTTGCCAGCTGACCCCTCTGGAGCAGCCAGCCAACCTGCACGAGGTGAGTGATCCCCACTGAGGTACCGGGGGAAGGGGGAGGGACTCACGTGGGGTGCTGGCCATGGACGTGAGTGTCCCTTAGGAGGCTGCCAGCCCCATCCCTGTCCCACCAGCTCCAAGCCCTCACCAAGAACAGCTGTGGAGCCCTGAGATGTGGAGCCACGTTGGACGGGGCTCTGAGCAACATGTTCTAGTTGCAGATGTTCCTGGTCCCTGCAGGGAGGTTGGACTAGATGACCTTTAAGGGGTCTTCCAACCCAAACCAGTCTACAATTCTATAATGTAGCCCACCTTGTGCTGGAAGTAGTTGGCAGCGTTCAGAAGAAAACTATCTCCAAAGGGATGTGTGATTTGAGGTGACTCTTCATTCTACACGCCCTGTAGTCTGGGGACAGGAACGTCCCTGTGGGAGTGGTAGGTGCACAGTACAGCTCAGCCAGCAGGTGGGACGTGTTGGGCAGGGTGTCCTGGCTGGTCCCTGGTGCTTTGCAGAGGAGGCCCCTGGGGGAGCATGCAGGCAGAGAGAGGTCACAGCCATGGCACATGTTTACAGCCTGTGGGCCACAACTGCCTGGCCTGTGGCCTTCGGTGGGCAAAGTCCAGGCAGAGCCGGGCAGAGGCGGGCAGGTGGCTCACCCACGGGAACCTGCTGAATCAGCCCTGGGCTGGGCTGGGTGCGGTGCCACCTGCCTCAGCACCTCTGGAGCAGTTCTGCTGCCAGGCTTCGGTGCTACAGGGCCTACACTGTGTCATGGCAAGGCTTCTGCCAGCCCCGGGAGGTGTGGGAGCTCTGGTCCCTGCCCGGCTGTCCAGCAGGCTGGGGAGGACACCCCAGCCCCTCACTGTTCACTCAGATCACGTACCCCCTGGCAAGGGGTCGTCCAGGGAGATGCCGGGGGCTGCTCACAGCTTGGCTGCTCCCAGCGTCACCACGAGGCACCAACCAGCAGCCCAGCACCGCGGGCTGGGCAGAATCAGTGCGGAGTTTTGTCTGGGCCTGGGGAGCTGCTGCTGAGCCTGCGAGTCCTGACTGGCTAAAGGTCCCCGGGGAAACTGGGACCTGCAGCAGGGTTTCTGTCCCTGGGCCTGGGGAGCGTCACAAAGGGAGGCTGTTGGGAAACTCTGGACTGTGCGATTAGGTTTTTAATCATTAGCCAGAAGCTTGCTTTTTGTCCTCACCCTGGACGCCTGCCAGAGGAGACAGGCTGTGTTGGCACCACGGCACCCGAGGCTCAGGGTCACCCGTTTCCCCAGCTGCCTGTTTTTCTAGAGCGGGGCCCTGTTCCTCCTGCATTGGGAAACCACCAGCAAGTCGTGAGCATGGGACATCATGATAGTGTCTGGCTCCCCAGGGGACACACTGCTGCCCATGCCTGGGGTGACCCAGCCCATTCGGGCCATCCCTTCCCTACAGCATTGTGCCCACTTCTTTTCAGGAGCTCCCTGACCCAGAGAAGGTGTCGACAGAGGTTCAGCAAATGTGGGTGCTGACAGAGGTGATCCGTGCTCGCCAGGCTGCTGCCCGCATCGGGCGCTTCGATGTGAGTCCCGATGCCCTGCTCGCGGGGGGCTCTGGCCCCACCGCATCACAGGGGGCCCCCCGGGCTGGGGTGGGGTGTCCCGGCAGAGCGATGGTGACAGCGACAGTTGCTCTTTTTCCCAGGTG